TCGAGAGTTTCAAATGAAGATGCAATGTTCCGGAAAATAAAATCGAATCTCGGCTGTTTTTGCTTAAAATATTTGAACAGAGTGACTCATAGTAACTGTACTACCAAACTGGAGTAAAAAACTAATCCTACTCTAGCATCTCCGGCACCAATAAAAAAACAAAAAGAATATCACAAATGCAAGTTTGGGACACAATCTTGGGGAGTACAATGTAAACAACATTTAGCTTTTATTCCCCAAAATGCTATCCTGTACCGTGCTAACCAATCCTCCTTGCCAAATGTGTCATAACCATTATATAGGGATATACAATCAGCATACTAAATAGCTTTCACAAACAAACACATAAAATATTTTGCATTATCGATCGTAAAACTACCAACCGGATTAGTACCCAAAAATGGACTGGGAAAAGCCTTAATACGTGGAACGTGGCAAGTATAGAAGTGGTAACAACCAAAAATCCATAGAATCAAGATTTTACCGGCATCAAAGATTAATGATGTTGTGCGATGCGACAGCTACAGATTATTCACTCTACTTGTGTAATCTACTTCGGAAAAAAGCTTTCCTTATTCTGAGATCCCGGAATATATTACCAGTAATCTACAAAAATCAGTGAAGGATTCAAACCCGACACAAGTAACTTTATTGTATAATGCCTATGGTGTCACAATCATGAATCTCAAGCTTCTGGGATTTAATGACATTTCAATGAGGTGAAACCTTGTTTAATAAGTTATGGTAGTCGAGTAAAAAATTTAGTTAGGTATACATAAATGGGCAAGTGGAGTAACTCATGCCACAAGAAATAAGAATTGCCAGTTATAAACGGTGAGAAAATTTGCTCGCCCAGTTAATTTGGGTTGACAAATGAAGCTACATTGGCAGATTTGCTGCATCTTTACACTACATATTAGACTTTAATCAATTAATACATAAACATTTGAATGTTTTGAGAGGTATGCAACAAAGTATGCAAATTCATCATAAATTTATTCCAAATTAAGCTCCCAACCACACTACTTTAAGCATTTGTACAGAGGAAACCCACAATATTAGATTAACAATTGTCGCATAATAACCGTACTCCAAATAAATAATTCTTTCCAGTTAAAAACTTACAATAGAAAACATAAAATCAAGAAAAGTTAGGAATACTAAAAGAATTTATTCGATAAAAAATATAAAGAAATTACGTTTCTTTGCTTGAAGGAGCCTTCTATTAGCTGAATCTGGGGATCCGAAGATACCATCTGCATCAATTGGAAAAATATCGCACCGCGAAATTAAACCAATTTTCATAATTGAAACAAATAAAATACGTGAATTTAAATGCACAAACCTGAAATGAAAGTGGATGCCGAGAGACCCGTGAAAAGGAAAAGAAATAGAACCAGAACCAAACAACACTTAATCTGACTCAAACCCATTATTCCCTATAATTCTTCTGATCTAATTAAGCAAAATTTAATTAAAATCTAAAGATATTCTATATAGATGGGTGAAATTCCCTGCCAAGTTATATTCTTTTGATATTCTTTCTGATCTATTTTTCTATTTCTAATCTACCTAGAATCTATTGTATTCAAAGGAAAACAACTATCATTAATTATATATATTATATAGACATAAACGTGTCTCCATGACCCCAAATTGAAAGAAAGGTTTTTGAATCAATGTGAGAGTGGGGCCATAGGCCCATAGATGGGTACTAGAACATGAAGTGGAGACAGCGCATATCCAGTTTTCACTCGCAACCGCGTCCGACCAACCGATTTTTGTTGTACATGTGGGGACGGCTTAAGTATTTTGAATATCTCATTTTACGATAAATATTACTTAACCCCTCTTTACTTTAAGAGTGTGTTTGATTGACATGGAAAATATCACCTAGAAAAGAAAATATTTTCCATCTTTTGTGGAAAATAAAAATCACCTCTACCCAAGGAAAATGTTTTCCTTAAAAACAAGGAAAATTAGGCATATTTTCAAAAGTTGAAAAATATTTTCCATAGAAAAAATAGCAATCAAACAATCTAAGTAGGAATTTGGGTGGAAAACTGATATTTTTCATGGAAAATAAATGTAATCAAACACACCCTAATAGAATTTAATAAAATATAAACAAAATTACAACTACAATGTCAGACATTTCACTTGATTGTAACTTTTACCATTATTTTTCATTCGTGACATCCCTAATCTCAAACATTTCGTTTCATTACAGTTGGAAACTTAGAGCACATTCGTCCATTTGACCGCTATTGATCAAAAATATAAAAAAAATTAATTTAATTTAACCAATTTGAGAAGGAAAAAATTGTAACTTTGAAGAAGATGAATAATATTTTTAATTTTTTCTTGTGGATCCCATAAATTTTAATTAAAATGAATTTGAAAAAAAAAAAATTCGGTTCAGTCGGTAATGAATCAATACGCAGGGAAAGTTTGAATGGCAAGAGGCTCAGAAGGAGAAGAGCTGGATTTTTTCTTTGTTGTCCCGCGAGGGCAGACACGGAAAGAAGAAGGAGATACGGAGGATCATTCAAATCTTCCCCGGCAAGAGTACCCGAAACGGCAGGCATGTGTCGAGTATGAAGTCCGAGGATAGATGGAATGAGGTGGAGACCACCAGATATTCCTATTCTCCACCTCAGCTTATTCTGGCAGGACCTTCCTTCCATTCCCCGGCTGCGGAGTAGAATAGGTTAGGTTCCCTAACTTGTTCAATAAGTAGAGTTCAATCAAGTAAGTCATTTCATTTCATGAATACAGCTCAAATTAAACTTGGGCCAAACAGGGATTTAATGATGGGAACATTATATATTTTGTCCGTCACATATTATTTATTGATTACAAATTAACCAAATAGTTAATCACAAACATCCAAATAATTGGTCATAAATACTCTTCATTCAACCCCTCCTAGCCCAATAGTTGGTTACAAATACTCTTCATCCTACCTCGAACCCACCATCGACACAAATAGTTGGTCACAAGTACTTTTCATCCCATCAATACCTTCACTCCAAATAACTTGTTACAAACCCCCTTATCCCACCCTACTCCAACCCATCCCAACACCAATCGAACGTCAAGTCACCTCACCACCATTAGCACTTAAATAATTGGTCACAAACACTCTTCACCCTATCCCCATCATCAACACCAATCGAACTGTGCCCCCAACTCACCCTACCGTCACTACTGCCATCACCACCAACACTACCTTCACTTTGCTAGTACCACCGCACTGCACCGCACAACACCACCATCACACCGCACAATGCACCATTATTGCATTGCACAATGCACTACCACCTCACCATAGTACCATCATCCCTACTTACTTCAAGCAATGGTGATCGCAAACTACCCCAAACCTCTCCAAAAAAGCATTAAAAAACCATAGGCGACCACAAACCACAGTATCATCCATTTCGGAGAAATCAAACTTAAAAAAATAATAATAATAGATCTGCGTCGTTGCACCCAAAGGAATGTTGCTTCATGGTGCACGAAGCAATGGCTCCTAGCACGAAGGAGCACTGCTGTTGTGCCGTGAAGATTCACCGAAGTGGGTGTACCATGAAGAGTTGTGGTTTGTGGTGGCCATGGATGTAGAGGTGGTAGTGTATAGTTTTGAAAATGAATTAGGTTTTATGGGATAGGAGTCGAGGTGAGGTGAGGGTAGATTGGTGGTGGTGATAGATTAATTTTAAGTTAATATTACTAAACATTTGATTTATGACTTGATTTTTGAATAAATAAATTGTAAATATGGTTTTTGAATTTGAAAGTTGAAATCCTTGATTTGATGTAATTTTCACGTAATGATTGTCGTAAATGGTACCAAAATGGACAATTTTCTTCATATAATCTTATGGTGGATGGAGTTAGAAATGGCTATTTATGGTAGAAAATTGATTGTGCAGAGTTATTCAGTTTTTAAGTTGAAAAAATTAGAGCAAATTATGTTTTCAAGTTTTCCTTTTCAAAAATCGTTATACATTAATTTTTCACAAAACAAATGTCCGGCCCACTAGTGTCCACATAAGTAAATTTCAGCATGTTTTGATCGAGAATACGGTTGGAAAATTACGGTGATAACGGACGTAGGAGTTGCTCTATGACATGAGATAAAAACGTTTGGACACCGACAATGTGATCAAAGGTAATTACAAAATCAAATATCAACCTCAAATAACTCTCAAAATAGAATGAATCCAAACTCAATTACTAAGAGACGAGTAAGAGAGCATTGTAATTTCAAGTATATGAAGTTCTTATATATCTTTTTTCCATCATTTAACATTTTCCAAGAGTTGCTATATATAGGGTTAAGGCCAATGTGGTCACCGTTGGATCAGAACCAGGTGACCTCATCTCATTAATTGGAGCCTTCTACCACTTTCTATCATCCATTAATTACATTGACAAGAAATCAACCATCCTACATTCTAGGCTAAATTTTTTTACATTTATTAATATAAACATTACATCAATCATTCTTATAAATACTTTTCAAATTCGCTTTAAAGGTAGCGAACGCTTTGAATTTAAGGGGGTACTTTAGATGAGCAGAGGCTTAGCCAGAAGAGAAAGTGCTTCAGCAAAAAGACGGATGAAGAAAGTGCTTCGGCTAAAGTGTGGTTTGTTCCCTTTCTTTACTTTTTTGACTGTCAAATGTCTACATGTAGTATCTCCACGTGGCTTTGACGTGATCTCCACTGAGAGCTTCAGATATAAGGCATAACAATAGTCCCCTAGGTCTATGTATGATCATTCATATAATTCATGGATTTATGTTATTTAAAAATTTTATTAGGGTGGTTATTTTTAACCATCCAAGATAGGCTGCTAAGTCTAATTATAAATACTTACATAAGAATTAGAATTTAAAAATATAGTTCCGGTGAAATGTTTGAAGTATTTATCAAGGTCATTTTTGGGACGTTGAGTTCGAGATTTTCTGTTTGTTGAAGTTGAATCAGAGCTTGGGTCTAATCGACTGATGTTGTTTGCTTGTTAGTATATTGTTAAAGTCTTGTCAAATTTGTCTGTGTCGAGGCTAAAATGGTATGCTTCGTCAATGTTAACGAAGTTATAGGCAACAATTCTGAAGAGGCATGCTAATTGACATGTGTAGGAATATGAGCCATCCTTAATTATTGTACAAATGATTTGCTATCTTCTGAGTTTTCCAGAAAAGACAACTGAGGAGGTTCAGTTTCCCATACACGTAATTGTCACCACATGTAATGAGTAATGATGAATGTTGTGGGCGTGTCTTTCATGGTTCAATCGTGTTAGAGCGCGTAATTCAGACGCTTCAATCTGGGCCATAGAAGACAAAACGGTAGATGTGGTGGGTGATTTAGATTAAATTTCAAATAAAGGTTGGATTATCCAAATCAACATCCAACGGCTAGGATTAAGTGCCTTCACCTATAAAAGGCAATAACGTATGGCAAAAATCACTTTTGTCACTGAATTCAAATTCTCTTTTTTCATCCGATCTTTTTCAACCCTTTTTTTTTTTACGATTTTCCAGTTATTTTTGTCCGTTTTCTTGTTGTCTAATCTCGTAAGTATCCAAAAATTTTGCAATTCTTGGTATAATGGCTTCTTCACCTTCTAGGGGGATTTAGACATTAGCTAGGTTGCCTCTCAGATGAGGGTTACCCTAACAAATACAGCTAACTTTATTAGAGCCACTAGGGTTGGGCAAAGTGTTTTACCTCCAGGGGAGGTAGGGATAAGTGAGGAGGTGGGTTGAGGACTGCTAAAATCCCATCCATCGTAAACGCGTCCCACCTAGTCAGCTTGAGAGAAAAATATTGCATCCCTTATAACATTGAATTTCTAGCCCCCTTTCCTGATGGGCGAACCATTTTCCTAGGTAGGGCTGCATCGCCATCAGTGAGTTTCTTTTGAAGACAGGTCTTTGTCTGCCTCTTCATCTCTTTTTAGAGCCATTCTGAGGTTGTACGAGTTGGCTCCCACCTAGTTCGTCCCCCAATGCTTGGGCCCAGTTAGTTGGAACCTATTTCTTATGGAAGGAAACCTCCTTAGGTGAGGACATATGCCCCTTCACGTTTTCCAAACCATCTTTCAACCTAGGGTTTTAGGGAAGGAGACTCCAAGGGTTGGTATTCCCTGTTTTCGTTAAGGTCACGGGCTTCTTTCGTTATAGGACTTCCCTCCTCTATCAAATGGCGAAAGGAGACGTGGTTCTAGGTGATAAGGAAATGTCAAGTGTGTGAGGGTGACACTGTGCTCCACGTGATAGTTCCTAACTCATACTCGAAAGCTCGTGAGTTCACCTCTCAATGGATTTTGACTTGATTTAAATAATTTTGACTACGACTCTAACCCTCTCACATGTTCTACAAGTCCGTTAATTGCTTTAAGCTATCCGAAGTTGAATCGGGCATAGTAGAGATATCTACCTTCGTTATCTATCTGGGAGAGAGTTTGACCATTTGATCAACTCCAAGCAGTTCTTCAAAGATTTTGGTTTAATGGCTCGAAGAGGTAAATCTACTCAGTTGAAATTTTCATCTCATTTGTTTGTATTGTTTATGATTTTCCTCATTCCTTTGCAGAAAACTTTGAGAAGATAAGGCACCCTATCCCCGATATGGCCACTATTCCAACTGCCACCTCCACTATTGGGTAGAAGGGATTGAAATCATCATCTGTTGGGGGTCAAACAGGTGAGGGGCCAAGTAGAGAAGATTAGCAAGGAGGCTGCTGGTCACGAAGGAAATGGGCGACCTCCCGTTAAGGATAAGGGAAAAAAAGTTGAGGAAGTCCCCAAGAAAAAGCAAAGGTTCTTCGCCAGCAAGGAGGGTAGGTCAATAGCCAGCCCATAGCTTCGTTCCAAAGGTCCAACTAGGGAGAAGTTGATGGCAACCTCTATAGCTGTAGCCGAGGGGGCTAAAAAAGGACCAGCGGCTGTAGAGCCCCCGAGGCAGGACTCTTCGAAGAGGGCGATGATGTCAAGTGGGTCCACTTCGTCTGATGCAGCTCTCACCCTAAGCTCTTCATTTCTCAATAAAGCGATGAACTAGCTCCGAAGGTTCTGTCGATGCTTTCTCCAAAGGTCCAAACTGCAACTATTTATCACAAATTCTGGACAGACTGTTGGTAGAACTTTGTAGAGACCATTGATGTAACGTTTGTATTAATAAATGTCAGAAATGTCAGCCTAGAATGTAGGGCAATTGACCTCATGTCAATGTAATTAATGGATGACAGAAAGTGATGGGAAGCTTCGATTAATAAGATGAGGTCACATGGTTCTCATCCAACGGTGACTACAGTCGTCTTTAAAACTATAAATAGTAACTCTTGGAACATGTTAAAGGATGAAAAAAGATATATGAGGACTTCATATACTTGAAATTATAACTCTCACTTGCTCGTCTCTTAGGCCATGTTTGATTGGCACAATTTCCATGGAAAATGGAATTCCATTTTTCACCAATTTTGTGTGTTTGATAGTAAAAGTTTTCCGTGGAATTCATTTTCCTTCTTTTCCCCCACACACTTGCATTTTCCATGATTTGGTGGAAAATCAATTCTCACCAAAACGGTGAGAATTGGTTTTCCATTTTTTTTTATTTATGATTATTATTATTTTTGCAATGGAAACAAATTTTAAGAACAATTGTAAAAAATGATATTCCTTAAATTGACAATTTTTATATAAAACAAAGTCAAACGAACATCAAAATATAAATAATTTTTGGATTTTATTTTTTATTTTTTATTTTTCAATGGAAACAAATTCTAGGAACAATTATAGAAGTAAATATCCCTTAAATTGACAATTTTCATGAAAAGCAAAGTCAAACGAACACTAAAAGAAACTTTTATTTTAACTTTTACAGGTGAAATATTATATCAATCAAACACTATTAATTGACATTCTCACTAAAACAAATTTTAGACAATTCAATTCCCTTTTTAGTGTTTAAGTTTGGATTTATTTTATTTCAAGAGTTGTTTGCAAATTGATCTTTGATTTTCAATTACCCTTGATCACACTGTCGTTACCAAACATTTTCGTCTCGCGTGAGCATTTCTCGCGTCCATTATCATCGTGATTTTTCGACTATATTCTCGGTCAAAACATATCGAAATTTGCTTGTGTGGACTCGATATCTGTTGTCCACGTGGCCATTACGAAAATCGGGGTCAACAAGATATTTGTTATTAAAAAATATTTAAATCTATTTTTGGTATTAAATTTTGTTTTTCCTCGTATGGTTAATATTGTAAGATTTTTATTTTTAAAAAAATCCAAATTACAGAAAAATCACATTAATTAATTGCTTTACTTTTACTTGGGAGATATCTTCTTCATAATTGATGCCGTGAGTTCGAGAAATAAACATTTTCCTTCTTAAAATTCTTTTCCGTGTTAGCTTTTGATTTCTTTCCCGATTCTTATTCATTGACCTTTGATATTGAAGCACTAACGTTTTTGGTATTGTAATGGTTTATATCTCTATTCTTTTTCTGCGACAAATGAAAAATTTCAAATACATTCTAAGGTTTGAAAAAGTGGTATAGTTATACGCTGTGTGTGTGTGAAATTGTGAGCACTGTTCTTGCATGTCTTATTCTCGAAATTGTGTCAAGATAATGTATGACCAGACAAGTGCAAATTGTGACGTTAGGGGAAAGTTGTGTAATCAACTGTATTAAAAGTTGTGACCTCTAATAGATTGGACATTGAGTTATGAATTGTTGATTGTGATCGAAATTCAGGCGACTTCCTATTGTATCACATAGGTTGGTTGTGATTGGATCCATTCCAGGAAAAAAAATATTAATCAATAATGAAAATATGTTTCAACTTATTTTATTTGTAATGGACATTTGAATGTAGAGATTAACCGTCTCGCTCAATTTAAATATCATGAGAAAAAATAATCTATATGTATTACATTGTCCTTCTACAACTACCATTTTTTCAGTCACATTCCTTATCTATATAAATCCATTATTATAATTAAAAAAAAAAAGGATTATGACCAGATATATATTCAAAGTTTGATATTTGTGAAAAATAATTTTAAACTTTGTTAATTACAATTTTTCCCTTTTATCTCTTAATTAATGAAGTAAAATACATAAACACTTGTGGTTGGGTTTGATTACGAACATGAAATTTTTATGGAAAGAAAATAAATTCTAGACACAATTCAATTGCCTGTAACTTGTTTATATGAAAATTATTAATTAAATGTAGTTGATTAATTTAATTTTCAACCTAAAAAATATTATACTTGTTCATTTTTTATTGGTTGGTAGATAATAGAAAAAGAGAGAGAGAGAGAACGAACCCCCTTAAATAGGGGTAGACAAAATGTCCAGACCAAACCGAGTGGTTCGGTTCGGTTCTATGAAAAAAATTAATGGTTTTGGTTCTTCGAACCGAGAACCATTTGGTTCCAATTCCTGTTCGCTTCTAATGCTAGAACCAAGAACCAAACATAATTTATAATTTTATTTTTATATGAATCTAATTTTATATTAATGGAAGTTAGTCCAATAGCCAATATTTTTTACAGTCAATTAAACATGTTAAATTCATTAATTTTTTTCTCTAATAGTCATAGCCGTCCAGTCCAAAGGGTTAAAAGAAACCTAAATTCCCAATTCCAATTTGTCTCTCAACATTCACAGTGATGCCACCATCCAATCCATCATTGTATTCGTCTCTGAAGACACTTTGAATTTTGAGATAGTAAAGTTTGTTTGTTTATAAATACATATAATTTTTAAACAAAAGCTAACCCTTTCATTGGAATTTCTTCATTTTTTGAATTTCTCAAAATTCACCTTCACAGTGCCACAGTAGAGGAAGATAGGCAGTACCACTACTACTTTTCCAAGTTTGCACACAAACATCATCATCCCACACCATTCCTTGTTTAGATAGTGCCATTTTTCCCTATTTGCAAACGAACATCATCCCACATTGGGACAAAGGATGAAATTGAACTAGATATTATTAACTTCAACTGAGCTATAGTGCCCACAAGGATGATCGCACAGTTGATACAACACACATACATGGTGGTCAGGATTATTTTATTCGTGGGGGACTTACGTCTCGACTATGAGTGCGCGATCATCTAAGCAATAACGGACACGAGTTGAGTGGCTTAATTCTATTAACTTTTGGCAATGACTTACTTATAGATATTGTGCAAGACTGAAAACTTAAGTAATAGTACTAGTCTACTAGAACCAGACCAAACCAAACCAGAACCGAATGGTTCAGTTGGGTTTGGTTCCACTTCTTAAAAAAAATTCATTCGGTTCGAAAAATCATTGGTTCATGGTTCATTTCGATTCTCTTGGAACCAAAACCAAATAAAATCACGTCCATCCTTACCCTTAAAGAAAACGTTTTCCTTGTTTTTGAAAAAAATATGACTCCATTACCGAATGTTGAAAAATATTTTCAATAGAAAAAATTATACATCAAACACCCCAAAAAGTAAAAATTTGGACAACAAAGTGTTTGGTTGCAATCATAAAAACTTGCATGGAAATTATTGATTACATATATTTGATTAATTTAATTGGTAAGCAAATAATAGAGAAGGGATATATATATATATATATATATATATAGAGAGAGAGAGAGAGAGAGAGAGAGAGAGAGAGAGAGAGTTAAAAATAAAAATAAAAACTTACGTTCCCTAAAGAAAATGATTTACTTCAAAAATAAGATCACTTAACCAACTTTTGAAAAATGTTTTCCATTGCGAAAAATTTCAATTAAACACTCTACAAGTAGGAACTTAATGAAAAACACCATCATAAAATCAACTTCATAGCATTCAATGCTAGTTCTAAATAAATAATCTATTTAGATCTATTAAACATACATAACTATATGATACCTGATCACACTTTTCACCAAGCCGAGATTGAAATTTTTTCCACCAAAATGAATACTTTATATTACATGGTAAACGGCAATGCATTTATTTGCAGCTAACAGGCATACTATATTTGTGCATCTGGAGGTAGAACAAACATGCAATCTTATAAATGAGAACCTTTTACACAGAAGGAACACTTCTAGTTCAATGAAGAACCATATGCAAACCCCCCAACTCAAGGAGACCCAAAAAAAAAAAAAGAAAAAAATGAAACCGTCGAAAATCCTTGTTTGTTACTAGCGGCATGGCATAAATGCAATAATAATCCAACAGCAGACCAAGCATTCATCCCATGGCATATTTCTGAGTCCATGATCTGGCAGTAGTCTCGTACTTGGCTCTATCAGTCTTGTACATGTGAGCAATCTCGGGCACAAGAGGATCGTCAGGATTTGGATCAGTCAGCAAGGAGCAAATAGAGAGCAGCACCTACAAGTTTTCACCATTGTCAAACATATGGCTCCAACTAAAACCAACGACATAAGAAAAGCATCACTCATAAAAGTAACATCATTTTTCAAATTAAGCATGCGCAACAGATTCAGACAGATTCATTAATCAATTTTTTTACCTTAGATACTGTAAGGGCAGGGCTCCACTGCTCTTTAAGAATATCAAGGCAAATGCTTCCATTGCTATTGATATTTGGATGAAAGACTTTGGTCTTAAAAGAGACCTGATCGGTGCACAATGAACAATAATAAGCATCTGAAATGTATTGAGGACAAAAATACAGAACAGGGAAGAAGAAAATCAAGCATTTTTTTTATTTTTTGCGGTCAATTAAGTACTTGCACGTGTTTGATTCAGAAATGAAAGAGATAAAGGAAAGTGTAACAGAACCAGGCCTGAGCATGTTTGGTAAAGCCTAAATAAAAGCGCAAAGTTACTTAAAAGAAACAGTAATTTTTGAGCTTTAGCCGAATTTGTAACTTCAAAAGTTACTTTCTTTAATTAACTTATGATCCCATACGTTTTTTACTTCTCTTTTAAAAGGTAACTTTTTTACCAAAAACTTTCCTCTTAAAAGCAATCTCTTTAAGTGAGATTGCTTCTTTTTGAGGCATAGAAAAAACAAGCTCTGCCTATTTTGTCTCAAGGTGCATTGTGGATCTAGAACATTATCAACCGTTGAAGCCCTTCTACCATTTTTGAAAAGCGCACACTTTCTCTTCCAAAAATGAAATGCAGTTATCCCATCTCATATCGAAAACACCGAGTAAAAATCATAACCACTATGAGCTGGATGTAACAATCTTGTTCAATAATTGTTTTGCAGCTTTCAGTGAGTTCAAATCCCTTGTCAAAAATTTCTTACAAGCATGTCGTGTAAGACACTCAAGTCTTGCACAAGGGTGTACTCTTGTACCACATCCTAATATCAAGGTGATTTTGAAGTTCACATATGATAGGTCAGCGAAGAACATAGGCAAACACAGTTCTATAGAAGATTGAGATATGGGCTGGTTTAATGCCCTATTCATCCTACCACACAATCACCAAGCATCATACCAGAAGGCCAACGTTTATGTGTCAAAATAATTCAGCCAGGTTACCTTCGGTGGCTTGAAAGGATAATCCGGTGGGAAGTGAATAGTCACGAGAAACACGCCCCCAGCAAAAGGGCTGTCTGAAGGGCCCATAATGGTAGCTTGCCAATGGAACATGTCCTCACCAACAGGCCCTGAAACAGATATTCAACAGGCAATTAGAGATTGACGATAAATGACAACGAATCCACTTATTTACGATACAAATTTATGCATAAACTGTAATTCAAAAGACGCAATTCACAATCAACTGCTGTTTAAATCAATTAATAATTGTGCCACAAATATAACAGAATTCAACCAACCCCCAAACAAAGTGGATAAATGAACAAAAGATTGGCAACTTAAGAGACTAGATGATTAGATACTAAAGTGATTTGAAAAAATTAACAAGAATAATAACAAGCAGAAGCAATCTAGTCATTGATGTTGTGCCAACCAAGGGTAAATAAGGGCAGGAAAAAAGCTGATTCTTGCAGTACAGCGAACATATATAAGTATATCAAATCAGCATATTAAAATGTTGCTAGTTCCTGTACTCTTTCTTATGCAGTCGCTGTCTTGGAAGACCTTAGCAGCATAACCTACCCTTCTCATGCAAAATGTCATGAACATAAATTAAACCTTTACTCGGATTTCACTTCCAAAATGTTTTCTAATTAAAATAATTAAAGGATTTAGTGTGCAGGCAACAACCTCCATTCTCTTCCTCACTGGGAGAATCATGTTGATTTTTTGAACCACAAAGATGAGTTTGAATACAAAAAACAAAAACTTATTAGCTTCAGAAAGAACCACAAAACTAATCTCATATTCCCACTAGCACAGGACAAGAATCAGGAGATTACTGGAAAACATACGATATAACTTCCAGAAACTGACAAATGGAAAGAAAGTTTGAGGGAGCGAGAGACAAACCTGCACTGCAGGATACAGGAGGGTCCTTCTGCAAGTCCTTCAATTCTTTCTGAATTCTCTTTGAAGCCATCACTGTTCAGCCCGATATTAAAGAATTAAAGAACCTGAAAAATTACTTGTAAAAGAAGATTATCTAGCAAATAGATAAAGGATGTTACAATTAAGAGAAACAAAGTGCTTTATTCTTGAGTACTTAAATTCCAATATCTAACTTTATCCAATTAGTAATTTAGAGACAACAAGTTGCTAAAAAACTAAAGCATAAACAGGATTATCGGGTGTAACAATCAAATAATGGAGCCAGGAAATATTCTAAACTATGAAGCCCTCGTTGGCTGAAAACATATTCCTCAACCATCATCATGGATCCAAACAAGAATAAATTTCATTCATGGATATAAATTCAATGGTCATCATATAACTTCTGCTATCTATAAATTCGATAGAATATGAAGGGAGGCTTCAAATTTGGCATGAACTCTTATGAACTGGATTTCTTCCATACTCAAAAGAGACAAATTGATAACCCATAAAATCATTTCCCCAGATAACTCAATTGAAAATCAGGGTCTAATTATTTTGAAAGAAGACCAATTTTGCAGCTAGCAAATTCTCTAGTAAAATATGCAAAGTCGGGGGAAAAGAAAAAGCTCATACTGAAGAGTAATTTTAAATTATTTTCAGGATCAGTGTAATTTCGCCTTTTTTCTTGTAAGGAAAAAATAAGAGCAATTTATACTAAGAAGTCCAAGACAATACATAAGACTGCAATCTACCCCTCCCTATGTATAAATAAAGAAAACATAACACACAAAAAAGAGGGGAGAATTAAGAAAAGATAGCAATCGAACAAATCACTGCATACTATTTAACCCTAACGAACAAACAAAGAACCCATATCAAACAGTTAAATCGCCGAAAAATCAAGAATTGAATAAACACGCACAAAAATTGAAATTTATATACATACAACAAAAATACAAACACAGATATACAGAAAAGCATGAGGATAGAGAGCGTTCAAATCTTACAGTTACGGACTATAGAGAGTCCTTTACGAAACCAAATAGATTTGCAGAGAGAAGAGGGTTAGGGCGAATCAATTGAAAAATTAGAAAAAATGATGCGGCCATCTTTATATACACCGCGTGTTGCCTTGTTGACTAGAATGCGAACAATTGCAGATGAGGCCTTTAACGTTTTTAAAAAGTTCATGTAGATCCTACATCTTTATTTTTTAGCACCGTCATCCCTAAACTTTGAACAAAGTTGCAACATGAGTACCTTTGAATGAAATTCGTCCAAAAACAAGTTAACTATGAGAGTGAATAGCGCGCGCTTAAAATTTCTTAAGGGTATAAAACAACATCTAAAAAGAAAAGAAAATTCTTTCTTCCCAGAACCTAACCCCCTAAAAGCAATGTATTTTACACCACAGAGGTCGAGAAGTGATTCTACAACTTTCTGTTGGATAAACTTGAATATGCTTTGAATGAACTGGTTCTCAAAATTTCAATTATCTTGTTATTTGTCTTTAAACTCATACATGCCATAGGGTCTTTGGTAAAATGCAGCTAATGAGTTAACTTTCCTTGAATGAGATTAGGGTACGCTTGATTGCAAAGATGGAATTGAATTGCATAAAAAACGAATTCCAATGAATTGAATTATCTAGAAATTATTTTCCTGAAAATTGTAAACTATTGTGTTTGATTGGTATAATTTTCACGTGAAAATTATTGAAATGAAAGTGTTTTTTGTGTTCATTTGGTTTTGTTTTACATGAAAATTATCAATTAAAGGGATAGAATTTACTGATATTAGGGATGAAATTTGTTTCCATTGTCAGAACCCAAAAAAAAATCAAGAAAATCATCTATCTTTTGGTGTTCGTTTGACTTTGTTTTATATGAAAATTGTCAATTAAAGGGAAATATTTTTTTATAATATTTCTAATAATGTATTTCCATTGTAAAAAAAAAAACGAAAAGAAAAAATGCTACAGTCAACGGGAACTCCAAATCTCTTCCAATTTCTTGAATTGGTGGAATTTGGCTTATGTGGCACTCAAGTTGTAAATTCAATTTTAAGCCAAAAAATTGCTATCAAACAAGGTTAAGTTGGAAGGTGGAACTCCAACCAAACACAGCTTAGAGCACTTGAGCAAGTTTTACAATTACACACGCGTGTAGTGGAAATCATGGAGATTTGTGGGGGTGGAACTTAGGTAGTGGTCACAAGGTGGATCGTACAGTTGGTGGGCCGAATGATTTCTTTTGGTTTTCAATGATTTATTTTCTGTTTAATATTATTTTTATTACGTGTCATTTACGCATTTTTTCCTGTTATATAAAAAGGAGAATGTGAAGTTAATGTATAAAGTAATAATGATTTGTTCTATTTTGTCTCATTGTAGCAAATTTTTTTCCAAATGGAGGAGCAAAAATAACGCCGTTTGTCTTAATATATATTTTATTATACATTGTACCTCTAATTTATTGCAACACGCAATTTCCAAACCTCCCACCAAGTTAGTTTAAAATTTAAAGTAATATTTAGATATATTTAATTCTTTAATTTAAATATTAATAAAAAGATTACTATAAAATTAAATATCGTTTGAAATTATTAAAAAATAAAAATACTAATAATAAAAGAAAAAATATTTCTAAAATGTAAAAAGTTGAAGGGAAAAGAATTTTAAATTGAAAAAAAAATTATTTTTAATGCAAACAACACAAATATTTCACACACACACACACATATATAAAATCCTTCATGTATTCTCCGTTGTCTCCATCCACAAAGAATTCTATGTTGCAGGGAGGGGTGTTTTTTTTTTTTCTTAGATGAATTTTTTTTCAATTTAAAATTCTTTTTAATTTTTTCTTATCATAATAAAACTTAATTTTTCAATGTTAACTAAATAATATTTATATATTCTTTATTAATTTTCATAACTTTCTTTTATTTCATTTTTATTATCTATTTTATTATTATTTGTGTCTGAATTAATTTGTTTTTCAGATTTTTATGGTGTCTAGATTTTTTCTAGCCGTAAGTTAATTTCCTTTTTTCCCCTTTTGTTTCTCCTTCTTTGTTATTTGCTTTATATTTTTTCCTTTTTTTTCCCTCCTTTTTTGAATTGGCTTTTGTTAAATTCCCAAAAAAAAAATAATAATAAATATTGATAGAGTTTCAAGTCTCTGTGTCTTCATGCATGGAGAGCACGGAGGCAAATGTTGTCTCCGTGCACGGAGGTCATATGTTCAGTCCTGTTTAGCTGTTTGCACATCAAGATTGCAGCCTTCATTATAGATTCCTGTTTCTGATTTTTGGCTTTCAAGTAGATGTTACCCCACCATTGTAAACTCTGGCAATACTTAGATCATGGGAAGCACGAAGAGAAGTATTTCTTTGGGTCGAGTGATTTTGGTGTAAGTCCAGAAAGAACTGATTCTCCCCAGAAGAATAGCCCGTTTACTTTTGAGAACTCTATTCCTAGGTCCCCACTTTCTAGGGCCGGGAATTCTCCAAGATACAGTGTTGAATTTAGAGATCCCTTTTTTGACAATTTTTCAAGATACGACTCCTTCCATACGCAGGATCACGTTTCATCTCCCCGTCAGGAGACTCTCGCTAGGTTCGACTCCATGAATAGCACAAGGGATTTTGGTCATAGTGATGGCTTTTCATTTGATGACTCTAACCCATTTGGTTCTAACGATCCCTTTAAAGTCTCTTAAGAAAGTCAAACTCCAAAAAAAAGTTCTGAAAGTTGGGGATCTTTCTAACCGGTGGATTTATACTCATATTTGACGGTATAGATATTGTTACTGTCTATTCATTCACTATATAGCCAGAATAAACGGCCGGAGGAAAATAATGATGTTCTGCTCTTCGTTGTATATCTATTGCACTGTATCATTACATGCCACCAAGACGAAGCCTTCACATGCAATTTTCTTGTCTTTCGGGTTCTGAGATTCGAGCCTCTTATATTTGGGTGGAAAGAATTTTTCGTGTATTCATTTTCACTTTTGTGCTCTTCTATGGGTTGGATTGGATTATTTTCAAATGCGTTGTAGTGACTTTGCAAACTTTCAATACATATTTCTTTGTAATATCTTCTTGATTGTATTGTATCATGCAGTGGTCAATTTTGATTTCTTAAAAGGATTCTTTAAACCCTTTCAATTTAAATGAAGAAAATAATCATTGTGAAAGTCGCTTGGATCGAACTAACGTTTTCTATAGAAATTCACATTTAAAGATTATTTAGTCAACATAAAATTTCAGATGTTGAACCTTAAATGACTATAATATAAATCGATTCAGTTTCTACTCAACTTTTAGTAAAAGAAATCTCTAAACATACTGTGTATTTGATGCAATGATAAAAGAAAATATTTATTTTATCAAACATTACATTAATTGGATATAAAATGGTTTTATCGTATTCTTAAGGAAAAAGCTATTTTCTTCTTGTAATGCAGCTTTTGATCTTTAAAAAGGTCCTACCAAACACACATGATGTTCTGGGCATAAGCAGCATGGTGGCTGCGAGTGCTCCAAACGTCCAAGGTCCCCGAAAAATTAAGGCCTACCCTTTATTTTTATTTTTTTTGTGGAAATTACATCTACCGTCTCATTTTCTTTTGAAATTTCTATTCTAATTCCATTAAATTTGTTAAGTGGCTGTGGCCGTGATGGTGGCAGGATAGTGTACAATGTTACAAGTGGTGGTGACAATGGTGACAAGAATAAAATAGTATTACAAACATAATAAAAGTTGTTATAATTAGTGATAGCAATAGTGGAGGAAACATGTGGTATGTAACAAATGTAAATCTTCGTGTTACAAGCTCTATGTAAAAAAAATAAAATAAAATAAAAAACAATATTTTGACAATGAAAAAAAATGGTCTCAACATGTATTTTTGTAAATGTGAATTGTTTTCAAAAATTTAAAGTTAAAGTAAAATCAGAATTGTTGAGAAGAAAATTTGAAAAGTAAAGAACGTTAGCATTTATCTCACTGTAGTCTTTTTTTTTTAATTTTATTTATTCCATTTTATTGCACTGTAGACATTTAGCTTTTTTCTCCAGTGTTTGAGCAAAAACAACACGTTTTGTCTAATTGGTACAATGATATTTCCCTTTCTCACCTGAAATTCTTTATTTTTTCAAAGAAATCATACCTTGTTTCTTCTTCTCTTCTTTAGAGTTTAATGTGTTCTTATTTCTATTTGGTTATTATTATTATTATTATTTTTATTTGTGTATGAATTAAATTGTTTTTCAGATTTTTCTGGTGTCTAGATTTTTTCTAGCGGTAAGTTAGATTCCTTTTTTTCCCTTCTTTTTTCCTTCTTTGTTATTTGCTTTATATTTTTTTCTTTTTTTTCCTCCTTTTTTAAATTGGCTTTTGTTAAATTTCCAAAAAAAGAAAAAAAAATTGAAAGAAAAAAAATATTCTAAATTGTAGAGCATGTGCCATTAACACACCTAGTTAATAGTTTTTTGGCTTGATTCCATCATAAGGTCCTTGACATGTGTTTGCAAGTTAGAGATGATGGAGCTATAAAATAAAGGTTTAAAATTCATTTGCACTTTTTACGAAAGTTGGAACCTCATTTGCAATTTTGCGGTTATAAAATTAGCCCCTAACTACCATTATTTCAAAATTCTTTATTTTACATACTTATTTTCAATCATACATTCACACATTAAAATATTTAACATATAAATTCAATTTTTTCTTACCTTTTAACCACATATTATCTAAAAATCACTATTTAAAACTTTATTTTTTTGTCAAATATTGGTTATCAAACAGGAGCCTAAAATGATGATTTAATTGTTGGATGAAGCATGAGGTACTGGGTAGGTGTCTGAGCACTCACATCATAGGGGATGGTTGAGGTCTTGGCCAATTTTTTATACAAGTGGAGTCCCATGCTGTGAGGGTCGGTGTGAATCACACCCCTACTTGGTAAAACAGCAAAATCATTAATTGTTATTGAATGACTGTTCAAAATTTACTTTGGTGCTCAACTGAAAATTGTTTTCTATTTAAAAAAAGTCAATTAAATTTTAATTAGAGCATCCCAAGAGTTT